TATTAAACAGGTCCAGTCAATCAGTACATTTATCTGCATAGGTTGAATTACCTACAGACGGCTACTGTAACTTTATTTAGCTACTTTGGGTAGCTTTATTTAGCTATTTCAATGCAACTTTTTACAAATTTGCTTTTTATTTCAAAAAGACAAAAGATCTAGAATTGCAGGTAAATATCCACAATTACTTATACAAGGGATTAATATTTAAAAAGCGATCCAAAGCTGAGAAAGTTTACAAATTTTTGCGTTTTAACACTTTAAGCAAAATATGTATTTCTATTGTTTGAGTAACTATACACAGCCTGGTGTGCGTTTAGGCACAGAAAAGTATGATTACTTCACATTGTGCTAAATAATTACCAATCCGGCCTTTATCATGTTCACCAGAAATGTCTGGTCTTGTTATTTCATTCAAGAAGTAAGAGTCTGGTCATAAAATAAGTTTGACTTTGCAGCTAAATAAAACTACTTTAGTTAGGTAAATAAACCTATGTAGGTAATTCAAGCTACGTAGCTAAATCTAGTGATTGTACCAGACCTGTACGTTAAACTGTTAAACAAACATGCACCATAGTCGTAATATTCACCTGATATATCTGAAACGGACACTGCAAACAAAACATTTGTTCTGCAAAATTTTTACTTCTTCCATCATACCAATTAACATCTGCAGGGTCATGGCCTTTAATCAGCTTATGTCTATATTCAAAACCACATCAGACACAGATACCGGCACCCACGTGGTGCTGCAGTCGACAAGGAGTAGTTTCACCAAAATTATGTTCATGGTCGGTTTCAGTCTCATTTTCATCTCGATTCTTATTAAGGTGCTTCAATTTCGAGGACCGTCAAGATTAAATATGTATGGAAACTTTGTCTTTTAGACGAGGAAATTTTCTCGACTTCTTCGTCGGCCATCTTGTAGCATAGACAATAATGTGTAAATGAAGATTATTATTTGGCGGCGTTGCGGAATCCGGAAAAACAGCACGTGCTAATATGCGGATTCTATCTATCACGTGATTGCTATCCGTCTCTACCTTAAAATGTACATTGACATGTACATTTTGCACTGACAGTGCACACTTCGTGCTCTTAACTTTTGTCTGTACATGTACAAAATGGCAAAAAGGCAAATGTCAGAATGTGAACGTTTGAAATACAAATTCTTTTAATTAAAATTCCTGGTTGGTGAAAACCATTAAATATGAATAAAATTGTACAAGGCACTGGAGAGAGTTTTGCAGTAAAAAGGCTGAAAAACATTAAAAGAAAATGTTCAAAATTTATGTCCACCTGTAGGTTAAAATCAATAGATCTTCTTTAAATAAGAATAAAAAATTTCATTGATTAAAATTGCCTTCCACAAACATTTCTTTACACATCCATATCAATATACTGTCCCCACCCACCTCAGCAAGTGATGGCGATTAGTATACATATGAAAGAAAAAGTGAGCAAGCTCACATACCCCACGCTTCCCCAAAACTCGACAATGCAACACGTAATGAATGGCACAGTGCATTTTAAATACACAGTATAATTCAAAAAAGGGGCATTACTTGCAAAAACTCATCACATCAAAACTTCTTGCATATAAGGACATTCAAATCTTTGTATGTTACAAATTTAACTGGGCTGAAGTTTCTAGATAAATAATGGAATCAAAATTTCTTGGTAATATACAAATCTATACATTATTCTGAAATACCTACAAAGTTTCAGGAAATTCAGTGCCGGAATTATGCTGACAAACTGTTATTTAAATTCCTCAGTGATTTCAATTTGTTAATGAGTGTAAGTCCATGTCCAACACATGACAGTTTACACATTTAAATATAATTGATGGAAACAAAATTATGATGTAGTCATATGAATCTGTTTATATACTGTACTTATGAAATTATTTAAGGCAAAGCACACCAATTTGAAGGGGGGGGGGGGGGGAGAGAGAACTATCGAAGATGGTGTGAGTGTGTGTTTGTGTTAAACCATTAATATTTTGATCTCAAAATCAATAGGGGTCTTTTAAGGTCATAAAATATTTCACATAGAATTTCATTATAAAAAGCTGATTCCAGTGGAGTTTCTTATTACCTAGCTGGAAAGTTTCTTCAATAAAAGGCAAAACTCTTAAGGCAAAAATAATGGAATCGGAATTTCCTGGTGATATGCACATCTACACACTGTGTACTAAATATCTGCAAAGTTTGTCCAAATTCTGTGCAGCGGTTTAAGAGGAGTTGTGCTGACAAACTGTTCACCTCTATATTCAAGATATGGCCAAAAACCTAAGTTGAAAAGTGCCGAAATTCCCAGAAAAAATAATGGAATCAGAATTTCCTGGTAATATGCACATCTACACACTGTGTACTAAATATCTGCAGAGATTGACCAAATTCTGTGCAGCGGTTTAAGAGGAGTTGCGCAGACAAACTGTTCATCTTTATATTCAAGATATGGCCAAAAATCTAAGTTGAAAAGTGCCGAAATTCCCAGAAAAATAATGGAATCGGAATTTCCTGGTAATATGCACATCTACACATTGTGTCCTAAATATCTGCAAAGTTTGACCAAATTCTGTGCAGCGGTTTAAGAGGAGTTGTGCTGACAAACTGTTCATCTCTATATTCAAGATATGGCCAAAAATCTAAGTTGAAAAGTGCCGAAATTCCAAGAAAATATAAAGGAATCGGAATTTCCTGGTAATATGCACATCTATACATTGTGTGCTAAATATCTGCAAAGTTTGACCAAATTCTGTGCAGCGGTTTATGAGGAGTTGCGCTGACAAACTGTTCATCTCCATATTCAAGATATGGCCAAAAATCTAAGTTGAAAAGTGCCGAAATTCCGAGAAAAAATAAAGGAATCGGAATTTCCTGGTAATATGCACATCTACACATTGTGTCCTAAATATCTGCAAAGTTTGACGAAATTCTGTGCAGCGGTTTATGAGGAGTTGCGCTGACAAAAAAACAGGACTGACGGACTGACTGACTGACTGACTGACACACTGACTGATTGACTGACTGACTGACGGACGGGTCAAAAACATTATACCTCACGCAACTTGTTGCGTGGGGTATAAAAATACATATATACATGCACTCCTTTTTTTATCAAAAGTAAAAGAAAGTTGAAAGGACCACAAAAAATGGTTTCCATATAAGTAAGAGACATGCCGAAATATTATGTAAGATTAAATTATGACCTTTGAAGTTCATAAAATCAACATTTTCTTTGAATTTCATTTACATAGAAATTTTAAAATGACTATTTCTTTATTTCAACTTTCACATTTTATAGAAAAATCATTCATATTATAAATACTTAGTATACCTATATACGTAATAACATTTTCCGTGTTAAGAGTACTTATATTAGATCATTCCAACTGTGTAAAATTACCATGGAATTAGAACTCTTCAGTGAGCAGTGTTTGGAGTTTTCTTTTAAATCAAAGGTTTAGAACATTTTCCTCTGATATTTATCAGTTTCTTTTTTTTATTGTCCAACTCTTTTCAGTGCCATTATACAATTTTATTCATATTTAATGGTCTTCGCCGACCAGGAATTTTAATTAAAAGAATATGTGTTTTATTCCTCTACTTTTTAACATTTGCCTTTTTGCCATTTTGTACATGAACGGACAAAAGATAAGAGCACGAAGTGTGCACTGTCAGTGCAAAATGTACATGTCAATGTACATTTTTGAAGTATAAATTTCAATAGTAGTCGGAATATGAAGAGGCTGATATCGGCCATCGTACAAAACAGTATTTATATGGCTAATTCTTAATTTGAAGATAGGCCCGTGATCTGTTAATGCGAATGTTAATAGCTAACTGTAACAAAAGAAAGCAATGTGTCATAAAAGATAAAGAATATTGTTGTGCTAATATTAATATTAATAATAATCACGGATACGAGTGTCATATAAAAAAATATAAGAAATTTAAGACATAATCTTTCTTTTCTTCCCTTTTTATGGAGGAAGGGCGGGTTTTAAATCAAAAGCGCAAATAATCAAGGATGCGATTTGGTTTCTAAAGAAACCACATCAAGTCCCTAATCACATTTTCTTATAATTACGTCGGGATCGATTCGGTCGTCATTTTGACGCTTTATTATAAACGTCAAATTTGACGTCAAGTTAAACATTTAATTGAAATCGCAAGAGTTATCTCCCCCAGTGTGTTGTACGTCTTTAATAGGCCATCCTAAAGACGTTATAAGTTTTGCAAAAAATACATTTTTGCATCCTCGTAACATTTATGTGGAGGACATTCTGTCACAGGACGTAGAGCAAACGATGAAATTAATACTAGTTGCTTTGCTTAAGGTCATCTTTTTAAAAATTTGTTGGTTGCCCTCTGCCGACCGACTGGCGAAGAATAGCCCGAATCAAAACTTTAACTTCGAGAACCAATTATTTTTTGTTCGGTTTCTGGAAAAAAGATTTTAAAATTTACCATTGAAATTAAAATTTTCTGAGAAAAAAGTTTCTCACCTACCTACCTACCGACCCATTTTTTCATCCTTATTCGAGAGAGGGCAAACAAGCATTATTTTAAAGTTGGCCTAACCGATAATAAAATTTAAGAATAAAACTTTGTTGTCTTTTCTTTTTTGTTAAATTTTTGATAAGATAATTTACTTGATGTGTAAAAGTGTGTTCTGTTATTTTTCTTGATGTTTAGGTGCACAGTCGCGTAATTTTTGCCAAATTAGTCCGATAAAATACAGCAAATGAGGGATAAACGTTTTCTAACATTAGTTGTTTGTACACGTTTTGTACCGCCTATCGGATATCACAGTGAATGGAAGCTTGGACCTCGTATCATTGTATATCTATTAAAGGTTACCCTATAAAATAGACAAGATTTATGACAAATCGAGTTTTCTACCTTCTGTTGAAAACTTAACCGGTATGTTTAATTTTGATTAGTTTACCCTTGTGTGAGACAAAAACAAGAGTAATTTTTCTTTTTCAGAAAAGCAATACACATGTCAGAAAATAAAACCAGAGGAAAACAAAGGTGAAATACAAGAAAGTCAAACGGCCCATTTAGAAGATATACTTCTTTGGGCATTGTATGCTAACAGACCAGAGATTGCTGAAACAGTTTGGCTAAGGGGACAAAACCAGCTAAGTATGGTGTTTTTTAAAGAAATATCACTGATTTTTTTAGTCAAATTTATATCTTGAAATATAACCAGAAAGAAATTTATGTTGTACTAGGGCTGTGCAATATGTAATGTGTATTGGACTACAGTGAGATAACGCTTTGCACGATTTCATGGATGATGAAACTTTTATATAGCTCAATTCAAAACCTTTCCAATGGTATAAACACGAGCCTTCAGCTCTACATAGTTTTAAACTAATAGTCGTTGCAATAGTTCCCCGCTGTTGTAAAAAATGTTTTGAAACATCTTCAGAACATTGAAAGAAATTAGAGCTTATATAAAAGTTCGCACAAAACTCGGTCATTCGGTAATGCAGATTTTTACGGGGTGGGGGGTGGGGGTATGGATCTGAAAAGGTATCGTATGAGATACTTCGTAGGTAGAGAAAGAAATTTCTGACTTGCACATAATCTGTCAAAGATGCAGCAAAATCTGACCGACCTCTGACTGTAACAGGCAAGGCAAATGTCTAAAAAGTCAGGGAAGTAATTGAAAGTGATGGCAGATTCTTGATTCGTGATACTGCCAATGATGTTTGCATATCGCTATCGCGGGTGCATTTCATTTCAAGCGTATTTTGAAAGTACGAAATATTTCTGCCAGAAGGATACCGCATATATTGTCAGTCGACTAAAACGGGTACGACTACAAACCACTAAGCAATTGCTCAAAATGTTTCCCAAATTTAATCAATGACACTCTGCAGACATTGTTACTTGTGAAAAAACATGGGTTCACTATTTCGAACCAGTAAGAAAAACTGGAAAGAAAATATGACTAACTAAACACAATACAAGGCCTGCAGTTGCCAAAAAAAATCATATGCAAGAGAAGGCTCTTTTTTGCATATTCTTCTCATGTGATGAAATAGACGTACAAATTCCGGTGCCGAAGGACAAAAGTGTTACAGGTCGGTATTACCAAGATGTTATACTAAAAAAGCTAAAGAAATATTATCATTATCGACGCCCTGTGTCAAGGTTAAGGAATGTTCGTCTGCTTCATGATAATGCTCCATCGGAAACATCTGAGCTTGTGAAGCAATTTTTGAAGTCGTAGAGGGTTACATGTACCATCTTGCCATACCTAATCTAGCTCCATGCAACATTTCCCTTTTTCCAAAACGTAAGAATTCTTATCTGGTCGTCGATACAAATTCCGACAAGCCCTTGGCTCAGCCATCAGTCAGTGCCTCAAAAGTCTATTTAAATCAGCGAACCGTGACGCATTTCAGAAATGGATTAAAGATTGAAATTAAGTATTTCAATCTGCGGAGAATACTTCATGTCACTATTTGAGTCGAATGCTCTTTGAGATCGTACGATGCACATTACATTTTGAACAACCCTCGTGCATTAGTATGGATATTACCTACATTACAAAATGATTTGTAAAATCATTTGAATATAACATGTGTATATAACAAACCATTCTGAAACATACAAGAGAATGCTTTTTCTAAACCTCTATCAAAAGAGATATTCGCCCCCTTTATTTTTAATCTATGATAAATAACCATTGTAAGAATGTTACTGGTAGAAAAATTGATAAGAAGAACATTTAATGTGTAGAAAAGTTTTTTTTTTTGGTTATCAAGTAGACATGTAAATATTAAATAAAACCGAAAATAATACCTTATATTATTGTTTTTATACTAGATTTTACTATGCAATGTATACTTGATCAATTGAGTTCACAGCGTGTGTGACCGCTCAACAGGGGATGCTTACGCCTCCTAGGCACCCAATCCCACCTCTGGAATTTCCAGAGATCCGTGTTTTATGCCCTTTTCAAATATTTGTTTTGTGAGATCGATCAATATCCATTATCTTCATCATTTACATTTGCACAATTCCAACAAAACAACAAAGACAAATAATACTGTTGTGAACTTCACAAGTGTGATCAGTGTTACATGCACATAGACATGTAAACAAGAATGACATATTATTCAGTATTATAATTCAGTGTTACGTTCATTCAAACTATTCCAAAAATGTATTGCAGTGACAGGTCTGGTTTGCTATGAAACATTACGAAAGTTATCAGACGAAGCCAGTGATGTTAAAGAACAAAACTTTTCCAAAGACTTGCTGGAACATGCACAGTAAGAAGAGACATCCTTTTCTGATATTCTATTTGCCATCTTTTATGATGAAATTTTCGAGTATTGTCTTATTTTTATTATATAATTCTAAGCGTTTCCTTTTGATTGGTGACTGATTTAAATGATTGAGCAAATATCCTAAAACATTGATTCATTTTTCTCCCTTTGTTATATCTCACACAGAATAAAACTCTGCCATTCAGTTAACTGAAAGGTGTCTGAAAGCTAACTGAAAGGCGACTGAATGGCAGAGCTTCATCTTGTGTCAGCTGGTTATTCAGCAAACAGTAAATTTTTGAAATTCATTCGAAATCCTACCTTGAAGTTAATATAGATTATTAATAAAAATCAAAATGCAATTATGAGTGTTTTAAACCAATTCAAAATCAATTTTTTTTTGTAACCATGGTTTCGGCTTCAGCAAAAAGAGTAAAATATACGTCCTGACAAGAAGTTCAAACATAATTTTTTTTACAGGTATTTTGTTGTTGACGTTTTTTTTTGTTGTTGTTGTTTTTTTCTTTTGTTTTTGCCAGGATTTTTGCATTAAAAGTATTAATTATCTGAATTATAGTAAAGATGTCACAATTTCTTAGAATTCAAATTCTAATATCAGAATCAATTTATTTGATAATTGATAAGACAAAACAATGATGAAGATCTCATCAGTTCATAAAACATAACGGGTAAATAGACCTTTTGTCATGTAATTTTTCATTAATCCGAAATTAAGAGTATCATATTATTTTAAAAATGCATTACTGTGTATACAAGCATAAAAAATGTCATTATGCAATGATTATTTAAAATAAAGCCAGTAACAATTTTCCATCTTTTGACAAAGGTCTTTTTTGCCATAAGAGTGACTTCTGCAAGATAGATTGCTAGAATTTAAAAAAATTATATGGAGTCGGAAAAGTAAGAAGCCATCTTAACGTTACATCTTACAGACGTCAGTCTTATATCTACAAGATCTCTGTCAAAAGATCCGAAAGATGAAGCATATATATTGGAGAATTTAACTAAGAGAAAAATTAAATAAAAGGTTGAATAGAAAAAAAAACTACAATACCTTTCACATTATTTGATAAAATATTGCCTTGATTACCATGATGGAAGATTGTTGATAAACTGTCCTGTTCTGATCTTTAATTACTGTACGTGTACATTAATTGGCGTATTCAAAATTTAGCGCAATCACTGGGTATGGAGTTGTTGGCGAAATCATGAATTAGCGCTATACATGTCCTTGCTGTATATTGTATTTATAAATGATTTCTTAGCGGGATTCATGAATTAGCGCATCGTTGTCTGCGCCAAAGCCGCTAAAATGTGAAGCCCGCTTTTTAAAGTACACATACAGTATATGGAGAAATCGCAGCAAAGAATGTAACAATTTTGTAAATGTAGAGCGTTTGGGATTTTAAAAGAGGAGAGGTAAATTTTTTGACTGTTGTATTATTAAATTGATTGGATAATCATCTGCATAAAAAATAATGAAATACCTTAAACCCTGTTGCTCCTCAGAAAAAATACTCTCTGAAATAATGCTCTTATGCTCTTTTTTTTTTTTTACCATTTATTGTTTGTTCGTAGAATAAGCAGGGATATGTGTATTATATAAAGAAAAGTATTATTAAACATTTGCTTCCTTGAACATTTCTTCCACTATACGTTGTTTGGATAATGTATATTTTTATATATGTGTGAAAAAGTTAAAAGTGCATTACTTCATGAATGAACTCTTCACATGATACGTTGCCATGGAAACACAAAGCATGATTCTTGTAATTTTTACTTTTTGTAATAATCACTATCACTTTTCATAAAAGTATGTAGTTTTCATTCAAAGTTGTGATTTTTGCACTTTCCACTTTTTATAAGATAATTTCATCGGTAACTGATAGGTTCTCTTTTTAAAAAATCAAGAATTAGCAAAGTGGTATGTATGAAATGTCTTCCTAAGTATATCAGAATCAGTTATTTATTCTTGAAACTTTTAGAATACCGGTAATAAGCATTTTCATATTATGTTCTCGGTTTTTACTAGTATTTATAAAATAAAAAGAAATATCAACGTGGACTATTTTATCTCTTTTTTTTCGGAAAAAGTAAATGAATATGTAAAAGTAGTACTTAATATTTCTGCTTTACATCTTAATGTTCATTTGAAAATGAAAAAACTCTTTTAAGTCTTTTCTGAAGTTTATTTTCTTACTTGCATGTGTAATTCCTAATTAGCAGAGATTAAATCAGAACAGAGACCTGTATATTTGTTTCTTTTAGAATGTTTTACAAAAGATCGTTAGAATTACTTGATTCCATGTTTGAAACCGACTCCAAAAAGACTTTAAAAGTCCTGGAAGACTCTGTTAGCATCTGGGGAATAACAAGCAATCCATTGACCTTTGCTTACGAAAATTTCATGTACGAGTTCGTGGCCAAACCTGCAAGTCAGAAGAATCTAAACAAAACCTGGTACGGAGGACAAGCGCCGCATCTTATCCCTTGTATTAAGGTAGCAAACCTTGTATTAAGGTAGCAAACCAATAGTTTGTACAGAATCTTTTAAAAAACATACGTCTAGTGAATTACATTAAAGTTTTGTTATATATTGATAAGTTTTTTAATCATAGTAACAAATGAGCAATATTTTGTTAATAAATTCACATTTTTTAATCAATGTTTGTTCACCAATTAATATATTTTTAAAGTCTGTACCCAATCATCCAGGCAAAGTATTAACATCTCCCCTGTCAAAGTACGTCTTCAATTATGTAAGTATAATAATTTAAGTTCAAAATGTAATAAATGAAACTATAAGATGTCATGAAATACCTGTTTCATATCTGGATGTTAACATACTGTTGACGATAAAAAAAAACAACTAACAACTAAATTATATGACTAAGAAGATGATTTCTATAGTCAACTTTTCTTATTTATTTTGTAATATTCCTCTTTAACCTACAAAAAGTGTTTTTGTCTTCTAACTTGTTCGCTAACCAAGAGCAAGCTCTGCTTATAATCAATTTTTAATCTGAGGCAGGCTACTAGCACATAAATTGATGTTACTGGGATTTCAACATCCTCGTTTTAAGTCGGCACTTTGTAAATTTTATGGTCGCTATAATGACCCTGTTAGCAAAATGACTTATCATTGAGTCGTATTTTGGCTGACTAGTTGCATACCAATTGCTAGCCTTTTGTTTTTTATAACAAATTTTACTATGGAATGTTCCGTCTACTTGATCAATACATAGGACTACATGGCGGGTCTGAGGGGTCAACAAGGTTGCTTAATAAACTCGTGCACCTGATATTACCTCTACCTGTCCAGGGGTCCGTGTCTATGCCCTGTTCACTCACAGATTTGTATAGTTCGTAGATATTTTGATCACTGTTTTTTATCTTCACCTTTTTCACGGTAATACTCCTGTTGCCTCTAATTGTTTGCAAGATCCCTTTTTCTTGAGTAGGGGAAGAGCAACATACGTCATTCTCTAACTTCAATAAAATATTATAAGTACATGTTATTATAAGTACATGTGTTTCAAATGATAAAAACAGTACCTGTCTGAAAATATAAATACATTCTGTAAAAAGAGAGAGTCTAGATGTAAACTTTTTTTGTAAAGAAAAGAAGAAAAAAAAGATTCCAATTTTGCTCAAAGGGAGAAAAGAAAAATTCCAAAATCCTATTGCTTATCTGTAGAAAACCCTCGTTCATGTTGCAAGAGAAAGGATGGTCAGTGTTAACAATATTAAAGAGAAGTTCTAGATACCAGCTTTTTCTTTTAAAAAGTCTTTTAACAACACTCGTTTGACCCCCCGATTGAAAAAAAAAAATCAAAATTTTATTTATCTTATTATTATTGTTAAGGCCCTGATCACAGATTTGAACTTCAATTTGAATGGTGCTTCTCAGTGAGATAAGCAAGCCCGAAGACATCGAATGAAATTTGTCATGGGTCCAACGGCAACGAATTGACACAGAACCCCTGAGGTTGTGAGGATAAAAAAGTCTGTGTAGAAAAATAGTATTATTTTAAAAAAAAAACTTATTTTACAAAACTTTATTTCACCCTCATGGTACATTGGTAAGAGAGTTTGCTCTCGAGTCGGGGAGTAAATTTCGTTTGTATGTTGATTAATGTCCCTCTCGAGATTTTTCACTCATATGGAGACGCCACCACTTGCCGGTGGAGAGCTGCAAATTCTGTCCTGTACTCGGCACTTACGGCTATTGAGCAGTGAGGGATCTTTTTCGTGCCAGCACCTACTGCGACACGGGACCTCAGTTTATACGGTCTCATCCGAAGGACCGGTCTCCACGTCCCGCAGTGGAATTCGAACCCGCGACGTAAGGATCCACTCCTTACTTCGCGACTCTAGAGCAGAGGCTTTAACCACTGCGTCACGCGGGCGACTCGGGGAGTAAGCAATTAATCCTTACGTGGAAGGTTCAAATCCCACTGTGGTGCTTGGAGACTGGTCCTTCGGATGAGACCGTATAAACCGAGGTCCAGTTTCGCGTTTGGTGCTGCCACGAAAAAACTTCCTTACAGCTTAAAGGCTGTAAATGCCGAGTAAAGGTCTGAATTGGTAGCCCTCCATCGGCAAGATATTAGTGAAAAAAAATTCTCAAAGGGACGTTAAACATACAAACAAAACCAAATTTAATAGTACTGAATTCATAAAATCTTGAAAAAAAAAAATCTTAAAATAAGTCAAATTTGTCGGACTTAAACATGTCGTACTGCTCAAAAAGTCTTCATTAGATGTGATAATAAGCAAAATTAACGAACCAAATGCTTTAAAAAGAGTGTCTTTCTGATATATAATGCTTTGCAATTTGCAATAAGGACTTGTAGCATAAGGCAACTTGGTTTTGTAAATATGTTCCGTAACTATGACCAATGCGTTCAGAAAATGTAATTTTGAAGGAGGGCAGACTGATTACATGGAAGATCAACTTGTAATAAATCCAAATATATGATAGGGTTTTCTTATTTGCAGTTTCTGTTCTTGACAATGCTGATCAGCTATAGTGCCTTTGTAACGACAAGTATTAGTACCACATATTACGTCAGGGACATAGCAAGAATATTTGAATATTACGTCTACTTCTGGGGATTTGGTGATTTGTTGGAGGAGTTTTTCAGTTGCTTTGTAAGTACATGCAATGATTTAAAGTCTAAAAATGTAAGGTCACGCATTAAAACATATACTAAAAAATGATGGCACATGGTCCGCAAATGTAACAAAAATTCATAGTATAATTGCTAGATTGCTCAATAGAATATTACAATTAATATTATTTCTGATCAAAGGTTTTGTCTACATGAAAATATTAATGGCGCTTGGTTTTAGGATGGTATGACATATTTCCGTATATGAAAAAGACCGTCAAGGTTCAAAACACGCTATCTTTGACGCGATTCTTGAACTCCCTAGACTGTCCGTGCAATGTTGGGACACCTCTACATTTTACTTCCTTGGAAATCATCACTTCCGTTTCTTTCAGTTTCATTGTGCAATGTATCGACGACGTTTTGGTTGTGTATGTTTTGAACAGCAAGTGCAAATGCAATCGGCAGACGATAAGACGGAGTTATTTAATCATATTGGAAGCGTAGAAACCCGTTGAAAAAGGGTGCACTAGATAATAGTTTCTAAAATAAAGTATGAATCGAGACACCGCCGGGAGTCCAAGAAAGCTGGTTCCGAACCTTTCCAGTTCTTTTTTATACAAAAAATTGGTATCTTAAAAAAAATGCTACTTTCAGAGATTTTTTATGTCCCCCCCTCCCCCCCCCCACGAAAATGGAACAATATATTAATTAAAAAACAAGAATTAAGCCAAAGCATACCATGAAAAGTTAGAAAAGGTTCCTTGATCCATTGTTAGTTAAGGTGTGGAGATGAAAATATTGTTCAGAGCAATTCCGATTACTATGAATTTTTAAAAGGAATTCGAGGAGTATTTCGAACCTAATTCTCACACATCCTCCAACTTTTTGTTTTATGAATCTTGCAAAAAAATCCGTTTCTCTTCTGATTCAAAGCTTTAAAATATATTTTTTGTTTTATATTTCAGGGAATATTTCACGAGACCGCCATTGAAGGAAAATCCTACCGCAGTTACACAACTATAGTAAAACGTTACTTAAACAATTTTTGGAATCAAGTAGACATTCTGTCTTACGTATTGTTGATCACTGCTCTGTTTGTACGACACATGCATCCATCCGAAACCTTCACTATATCACGAAGGATGTTTTCCTTGTCTTTACTTATTATGTATCTTCGTTTTCTGGAAGCATTTCTTATGATTAGAACACTTGGCCCTACGCTGATAATGATTAAAGAAATGGTAAGCCATTAATTTAGCAGTATTATGAAAACCTGTATATGCATTTATAAATACATATGTACATCGATGATCATTAACTTGAATAATCAATCATAGAGTATTGCTGACTGACGTTTTTCATACTAATTGTTAGGACATTATTTACACACCTGAATTTTACTGTGTGTCTGATCATGACAAGGAGCACATGTCGAGTGTGTCTGGTCCATAAGGGATTCTTGCTCCTCCATAAATATAGCATCTGATCCTATCTCTGATGTTTTTGGAGGTCGTGTTTGTTTTGAGCTTGATTAATACATGTATTTCTTATTTCTATAATTCAGTAACTTCAAATATTGCTATAAATATTACAGTATTTTTATTACTTGATACACTGTACTTTGAAGGATATGAAATAGCATCTAAGATTTCTGATGCAAAATACTCATTTTGTTTTCCTAAAAATAATATTTTTATATTTTTTTCGGGGGGGGGGGGGTTACTTCCACTAAAGCACTTGATTAAATTACAAATTAAGCAACATCTGCGACGTATAAAAATTGGAAGACAGCCAACCAAATCACGGGTGTTTGTTTCTCGGAAATGAAAGGCAATTACATTGGAATCATTAATTTCTTCAGTTCTGTACAGACTTCTACCCCTTTGTGAGAATTTAAGGAATTTTGGTTGTTGTTTAACGTCCCTCTCGAAATTTTTTCGCAACACTTGCCGGTTCCTTGTTAAGCATGCTATTTTAAGTAAAATTTAGTAGTAAGAAAGGTCTCGGTCGCTCTGCTTCTCCTGTCCTCTACTCAATCTACATATGTTTTCACTATTAAATTATTACAAACACACCTTAATTAATTGAAAGCTTATAAAATTGCAAAGATTTCTGCATTGGGAACAAAAATATTATGATGTTGTTTATTCCCATAGCTCAAAGACTTGTTTGGATTTATCATCCTGCTCTTTGTTGTGATTCTTGGTGTGGGGTTCTACTACCACGCCAATCTGTGGCCGGATCATGTTTATTTCTGGGAAGGTAGATGGACAGACTGGAGAATCTGGAAAGTCATTTACTATCCCTATTGGCAGCTCTACGGAGAAACATTTAACGATTTCCTCGAAGGTAAATTTGAGTAAAATTAAGAAGCAAAAGAAAAAACAAACAAACTTTGTTAGCAAATCTCTGTGAACGTTTATAATTTGAATGTTTACTTTACAAAAATCCAATCCTGACCTCCTAAGTAGATGTTTTTTTAATTGTATTTAATTCACATTAAATCTAGCATTCGTTCATATTCTCGGTGTGCATTGATTTTGATTTCATTTCGCCAATTGATTCATATCTTTCTTAACCCCTGCGTACACACAGTTTTATGTCTAGTTGAAATACTCTTAAGTTCCGAGTGAAATCATTCTGTAAGCGAGTGTTCTGCTTTATGACCTCATCATTCAAACCTATTTCAATACATTAACATAAATGGAGTTATAAATTGAAAACTACTTCAAACAGTCACACAAGTATACTAACACCCCAGGCATAACATTTTTGTTGAATACAGGAAATTCAGGACCCTGCGCCGAGGACTGTACAATAACCAATTTTACTGTCTCTTCTCATGGCTCCGAGGACAGATGTCCCCAGGAAGATTGGACAGTCGGTGCGGTGTCTGCTCTGTACATGCTGTTCTCAAACTTGCTGCTTGTCAATCTGGTCATAGCTATGTTCAGGTAATAATTAGTTGCTATGTTCAACAATTGATCAGTTGCTTTGTTTAGGCCATCTTTGAAAGATTTTAGTTGCACTCTCCCGACTGACTTGCCAAAAATGACCTAACTAAAATTTTTGTTAGCCCCAAGGAAACACGTTGTATTCCAGAAAATATATTTCGAAAATTCAGCATTAACGTTGAAATTTTATGGGACATTTGTTTTCAAGCTACCAATCGACCCAACTTTTTCATGCTGAGTCGGGCGAGGGAAAACAAACATTATTTTAAAGTTGGCCCCAGCTAGTGGTCAGTTGCTATGTTCAGATAATTGGCCAGCTTTGAATGGCCATGACAAGCAGATTTATTATGGGCACATAAGGCTGATGTAACAATCAGAAACTAGATGTGTCTTAACGCCACGAATGCCCCCGCAGGCAGCCAAAGTTTCAAATGCCATATTTAGTTTTAAATTTGAATTCGAACTTGACCTGTATTTTCTGGTAAAATACCTGCATATGCAAGTTCAACCTTATACATACATCTTTGCAAAGGTTAGAGAGTCGAACCTGAAAATTTCTAGTTCAAGAGGGAAAATTTCTTATTTTTTTCTTAGTTCAAGAGGGATAACTCTGTCAAAAATCAATGGACCATGACCAAATACGAACTTGACCTGAGTATTCCTATGACGTATCCATATGTCAGATTTCAGTTGTGCAACTGTTAAAGAGATAATGAACAGAACGTCAATGATGACGGAATGACAGAACAGGGTAATACTATATGCCCGGGCCATTTTATGGCGGGGCATAAAAATAAAATAACTCATTTGAGGCTAATCAGAAAATCCTGACTAATGATTTTGTTTTTATATAATGAAAAATTCCCAGACGAGATTGATAACGAATCGAAACTTCTCATTTTTCTGCGCACACTCAGTAACCTCGACTTCCTGATTCGCTGCCAGTGAAAAAAACGAGTAGTGATCATGATTAGATGTCTAAAATAAGCAATGCAAATCCTAAACAGAGCCAGAAATGTCCTCTGAAAACAGAGGTGGGATCAGGAAATGAATGGATGCTGGTTAATAATCGCTAACTGAGCACACCAGTTAAACATATTTTATTCAACGGGTGTGAATAGAAGATTTGTGTTGAACACCATCTCCTCATTCTACCTCTTACATTTACAACCATTAATAATGCTGTATAAAGGTAGAAAATCTTCGAAGTGGAGGCCCCTTTAACTGTTTGGATGATGATCAATGTCTTATAAGAGAAGTTTTCATTTAAACATCCTCTGGGTAAAGTGCCACAAACTTAACCCTTTGAATGGAGGTAAGGTATTAGCAGCGAGTGATGTATCTTCAATAAGCCTGTCATGATAATGGACCTCGTTTTTAAAGGTTTCATCCGAAAATCTAATGGCTTTCACATCTGCATTCACTTCCTATGATAAATGTCCTTCATTTGACGAGGAACCGGGAATGAAAATCGAACCCAGATCTTCCGATCACGAAAGGACTGCCTTACCATTGGGCTTTCTCAACCGGTCTGACCCGGTTTCTTTACAACACATTGCTTATTTCGTTTTGTATTTTATCTTATAACAGAGAGGGACAATCTCTAAAACTTACAAAATTTGGGAAAGAAATCAGAATGGTGCCTGTTAGTTTTATAACTTTATCAATGCAAATTGATTTACTGAATCAGAGGTAGGAAATGAAGTAACAATATCAGATAATATTTAATACTTTCAGCAATACTTATTCTATCCATACTTCTTTTGTACAGTTCTACATACGAAAGAGTGACAGCTAATGCGGAGAACCTTTGGCGATTTGAACGTTACACCGTGATCATGAATTACAAATATCGAGTTCCCTCTCCAGTTAATTTGTTGTACACGATCTACAGAGTATACAGATGTATCAAGCGTGGTTCCTGTAGGAATTCATGTTGTTGCTGTTGTTTTGACTACCGTGAACCGAGCAAAACTGGTGAGTGGATCACCACTATAGTGTTTCTGAAACAAAAGGTTAATGGTTATGTTGTAGGTAATTTAACTAGGAAAAACATACTCTCTGAAAATGGTATACATGTATCTGAGAAACATATTGACTAGAATTAAACTAGATTCTTAATCCTACAAATATTAATAAATCCTTTAATGTGAATAACTTGCAAACATCATCTCAATTTATAAAAAAATGTCTTCAAATGTCTTTCCATGAGAAAAATTAACTATATACATACACCCAAAATATTTTGCTATATTGTAAAAGTTTCCCGTTATTGGAAAATAATTTACTACTCGAAATAAGAACATTCATTATATTTCTTCTGACTGTTGACCATGGCTAAAAACAAGGAAAATTTGAATTGTTTTCATAATAGCAATTCTTTTTAACAACTTGTCGAATAATGTAATAATCGTTTTGGGCTTAAAAAAGCTTTTATGCGTGTTAAAAGCATGTTCACAAACATTTTAAGGATATTCTAAAGTGCTTATAAAAAGTTTATTTTGCTTATTAATAATTTTAATATAAAATATACATTACTTATTTAACAGATGGACTAACATTTAGTACTAAAAATATTGTCCTAACAGAATACATAAAAACTGTTTATGGTTACAAGATTTTCTAGGCGGATGAAATATTATAAAACTAATTTTCTCCCATGGGGCAAGGTTATATATTAAATCTTCCGGGATTATATTTTACTTTTGGGGGAGGTGTACCTTCCGACACCGGTAAGAAACCGTCATTAATTGTTTTAAATGCTTGCATTTTCAGAGAAAAAAGAGAAGAAAATAAAGAAAATGGAAACTCGACAAAAATTTCAGAGAATAATGGCGAATAGAGTGTGTGATAAACTTAATTTGACAAACTAGAAACAAACCACACATCTGCTGAAGAATACTGTAGGTGATTGTAAACTCAATTGAATTTCATTTACACTATGATTTTTGTTTATAAAACATTTCTGGCAATGCTGTGCTATTTAATATACAACTGTACATAAATTGTTGTATCTGTGCCCTTTACATGTAGACTGACTGCAGTGATTCCACCATGTCTATTGTATTTTTTTCTCTTTTTTTTCGTTCTTTAAAAGGTAAAGTGTTGGTAGAAAAGAAACAATTTAGAAGGTATAAAATAAACGTTAAACATGAATTTAGTCCCATTTGGGATGAGGAGGTATTGTTTTTAATGTGACCTGTTTTCAAAACTTATTTAAAATCATTTAATGCACCGGAATCATTGTCTAAATTTTAAATTTGGAAATCAACTTGACTTCTGCTCCGGTAAAGTTACAACGAAGCATGAGTTCAAATTCATTCAGTATATTATGTTCCTCACCAAGGGGAGCTCATTTTGGGTAAAATAAATCAATGTGAATTTATTCTGGATATTAAATAAATGCATTAACATTCCATCACAAATGCATTTGGGGGTTTGAACAAGACGAAAACTATGCAAAAGAGCAAATGAAAATAAATTCACACGTATTTTATGCATCGTTTCTAAGGAAACACAAAAATGGCTAGGGTCGAACTTTAAGCTTGTACCCTATAACAAATATACAGAAAGTCTTTATGTTAAGTACCAACAGGTTTCACTTTAAAAACATCACGTGTCCTTTCTTTATGTTAGCTCCGCCCATTAATGATTTTCCTTTTATCCTATATTTAAGATCTACAAAAGTTTTCACTACTGATTACAATTAACAATTTTTAAAATTTGTTTGAATCATTTTGAAATGTACAACTGCTAAAAGCACTTTCACTTGACATGTTTTAACTCGAGAACTTGTACATTTTCATGAAAATATGACGACAGAAACGTCTACGTTGAAAAATGTTACCTACCTTTCCTCTTAAAGATATTAAAAGTATGTTTCCATACCAATTACCTGTCATTTTTGAATTTCATAAGACGTTATATATCCCATTTAATCCAGTCTGTCTGTACCACGTGTTTCTTATCATCAACCATGTACGAGACTGATTGCATTGATTGTATGTTGTACACCCTTGACTGGACGAATTAAATTTTCTTTGTTATAAATTCATATTTGTTATTGATCTGTGCGTTTTATTCCAAACTTTCAGTTGGGGTTATCTTGTGCTACAATGCATTGTGAGGTCGCATAATTTGCTTTATATGATTTAGAAACTATTCATTGTGAAATCACGTTATTAACCCTTTCCTTCAGCTAGAGTGTATGGAAATTTTGTTTACATCTATCTTACTGATTAAGTAAATTTCATGTTACAAGCTGCATCATGTGGAAAGGAATATGATTTATTAAGGAATCAAATATAATGTATTTGGTTGTTAAATAGGTCTTCGTATCTCCCAAACACTTATGCAATAAATTGTTTATTCAGTGTGAACCGAAAGAACTAGTTCAATACCCGAATACGTAAATATTGACTGAAATTAACTCAGCCGTACATGTAGCCCCATCAGGCTATAGAACAAATTTAAGATATATATGTATATTTCATTTCAGTAGTGTTAAAAAGTGTAAATAAACATTTTTGTCTGATAGAAATAGCATTCATTCTATATTTACTGCCTTTCAAGTATTTTCATCTTGCTGTTCATGCTTGGTTTTTGGTTAAATATATTTCATCAAAATAAACCGAGAACGCTATATTCAAATTAGAAAAAAAGTTTGTTTAAAAAAATTGAGAATGACTTAAGAAATGGTATGAATTAGATCATAAATGAAATCTATACATATAATTAAATTCAAATTAATTCTTAATTGAGTATGACGTGGATAGCCATATTAACATGCTTTTCTTAACATAAAAAAGTTCAACTGAAGAACAAATTTTAACAGGGCATTATTGTTATATAAAAAAAGTATGAGAACATTATGTTGCCTTTAAAAAAAATTGGAAAAAATGAAAAATGTAATGAAATTAACTGGGCTAAACCTTTGAAAAGAAAAAGAACTCTGCAGATAAATTAACTCTTAACGTTTTGCCAAAGGTCAAGATGCCCAAAAATTTATTTTTACAATAGCTCCAAAACTATGTGAGGTATAAAGTTAAAACTTTCACAGTTTATAAATATGTCATTGATTTACAGATAGAAAGTATCACTTAAAAACAACTTTTTTTTTGGAGAAAAAAAAATTCAAAAAAATTGCATATTTAAAAAAAATGCACCTGCTTATTTCTGAACTTTAAGTGAAAAACCATCATTGAAGAAATAATATATGTTTATCAATGAAGGGCAAGTTGGACGTGAATGGTCTGTGAAAGGCTGTTATTGAAAGCATGACATGTATAAAGACAAGACCCCTATAAAATCCGCCATTTGCAATGTACTTTCGGTTTCGGTTTCAAATCTTAACATCTGGACAAAATAAACAAGGAAAACAACTTTCCAGAGGTTATCGAAGTCCAATTTACCCTTCATTGATAAAACATACATCGTTTCTGCAATGATGGCTTTCACTAAAAGTACGGAATTAATTAGGTGTATTTTTTAAAAAATATATGCATTTTTTTAATAAGATTTTCTCTCCATAAATATTTTTTTAAGTATACTGAAACGCAAAAGAAACGCAACAAGCAGTAAACTACAAATGTTTGAATTCTTTATCCAATGATTTTCAAAAATGATAACAGTGAGGTAAAACACGATTTAAAAACATCAGTCATTTGACAAAAAATATTAAATGATTATCTTTTAACTTTAGAAAGTCACATGACTGTTAAAACACCCCCACCCCGGCCATTAAATTACAGTGTGCAAGATTGCCATGCACAACAATTGCAGCTTGATTTCTACGATGCAATAGGTTTATCTATCTCGAGATCTGAGTGAAAGAAATATTCTTTGCCATTTTTAAATGCCCGTTTTTCAGATGATTAGGTCGAATTTTCTCTAGCCTAGCGCAGTGTAGTAACCCTTGGACTTCCGGTCCAAGGACTGTCATTCATGCTAATGATACGTAAGAGTCTCTTAAGGCGTGCTGTAGTGCATATTTGCATCTGCAAATTTCCATCACCATTATTTTGAGATTTTCAAGCTAGAGCAATGGAAATGCGTACTTACGGCATTTTCAGGAATCCTTGGCATCGCTTATGGAAAAGAAAGGAAAATTTATTTATCGGAATACTGCTGCATTACTTATGATGAACAGATACAAACCCTTAAAACCCCATGTTATTGCCAAATGTTTTGTTAAGCATGCAATTTTTGATTTCTGTTAAGCGGGCTCAAACATAACCTCCGGTAATGGTATGAAAATCATTCAACCGTTAAATTACCGATATTTACAAAGTTGAAGATGTCTTTACTTATTAAATACAAAATTATATTCTATATATAATATTTCCCCCTAAAATAGGACGTTGCGTTTCTTTTGCGTTTCAGTACATGTATATTTGTTATCAAGTGATACTTTCTATCTGTTAATCAATGATATATTTATAAACTATAAAAGTTTTAACTTTATAAACCACATAGTTTTGGAGCTATTGTTAAAATAAATTTTTGGACATGTTGACCTTTGGCAAACCCTTAATCAAAGTTGCAAGGAAATCAAACGGATAAAAAAAATTATGTATCTTAGTGTAGTTTACTTGTGTGTCAAGTTATATTGAGATCAGACCAAAACTATAGGAAGAGTGGCGTTTTGAAAGTATTTCCAAGAAATATCTTCTTTTAGTAACCATGGCAACAAAGTTCATTGAAATCAAAAACCGATACAGAGAATCATGTATCTTAGTGTAATCTACTTATGTGCCAAGTTATATTGAAATCAGACCAAAACTGTAGGAGAAGTGGCATTTTGAAAAATTGTTTACAGACGGACGACGGACACCTTACTATCGCATAAGCTCTTCTGGTCTCTGAACAGCAGAGCTAAAAACTTCGTCCTTAAGGGAAGTGCACTTCCGAATGAAATTTTTACGTATTTAAATCGACATGTAAGTTAATTCACCATGTAGCTGAATAAACATGTTCTGAAGTGTATAGCAGGGCGTAATGCGTGCGCAGATAATAAAATCTGCCGGAAGCCTCATATGGAATCAACTTTGATCGGCCGAAGCTGATCACAAAAATAACATAAAACAACACGTGAAGTGCTGGGTTATAATAACATGTTTAGAGTAAAGTATTATAACATGTATATTTCTAACACTAGAGGTAACTAGTATGCAGATTCCAAGAATACTCTACAGAAACATGATGAAATTTTATATAAAGCGACATTTAAGAAATTTAATTACATGTACAAACTGTCAAAGTTTAGTCTGTCCATTTGTCAACCAAATTCTTATGATAAGGACTGTGTCATGGAAGAAATTAACACATTTTTGTTTTCAAATCTCCACAAGGTATCAACGTTAATGCTAGGCCCGTAACAGCGGTTTCGGGGGGGGGGGGGGGGCAACTTCCCAAAATATTCTGACGAGCAAAATAAAAATTAATTGTCCAAATCCTGGAAATTGCAAGTGCTTGACCTTACAGCAACATGTCCACCATAGAACATTTCTGCACCCCGAAATAATGACCAATACATATTCCGTCCACCATATATAAAATC